AGCATCAACCGCGGGGTAAGTACTCGTAACTCACTTAGGGACACCGTAGGACACATGGCTTTTGTTTCTCAAATTGAACCTACAACCATTTCCGAAGCAATAAACGATGAACATTGGACCTTGGCTATGCAAGAGGAGCTAAACCAATTCAAACGGAATGACGTTTGGGAATTGGTGCCAAGACCCGATGATCGTACGATTATTGGTACGAAATGGGTGTTCCGTAACAAACTTGATGAAAATGGAATAATCACTAGAAACAAAGCTAGGCTCGTAGCTAAAGGCTACAATCAAGAAGAAGGCATTGATTTTGAGGAAACTTATGCACCTGTAGCACGTTTAGAAGCTATTCGTTTACTTCTTGCTCTTGCTTCGTCTATGGATTTTAAACTTTATCAAATGGATGTTAAGAGTGCCTTCCTCAATGGTTTTATTCAAGAGGAAGTGTATGTTGACCAGCCCCCGGGGTTTGAAGACTTTGAGTTTCCCGACCATGTCATCAAACTCAAGAAAGCGCTCTACGGTCTTAAACAAGCACCTCGTGCTTGGTATGAACGTTTGAGAAAATTTCTTTTGGATAGTGGTTTCCAAAGGGGAAAGGTAGACACCACACTTTTTATCAAGAGTAAAAACAATAACATCCTTTTGGTTTAAGTTTATGTAGACGATATTATATTCGGTGCTACTAACGAGTCTTTGTGCAAGGAATTCTCAACGTTAATGACAAGCGAGTTCGAAATGTCGATGATGGGTGAGCTCACATTCTTTTTGGGACTCTAAGTCAAGCAAATGAATGATGGCACGTTCATTTGTCAAACTAAATATTGCAAGGAGCTCCTAAAACGGTTTGAAATGGACAACACCAAAGCCATGGCGACCCCGTTGAGCACGTCCGACCATCTAGACAAAGACGAGAAAGGTAAGGACGTAGAAGTCAAAAAGTATCGAGGTATGATCGGATCCCTTCTCTATCTTACCGCTTGTAGGTCGGATATCATGTTTAGCGTATGCCTTTGTGCAAGGTATCAATCATGTCCGAAGGAATCACACTTAACAGCCGTGAAACGGATCATGAAATACCTTGTTGGCACGGTTAACGTTGGACTGTGGTATCCAAAAGGCTCTTCGTGTCATCTCGCTGGGTATTCCGACTCGGACTTTGCCGGTTGCAAATTGGACCGTAAAAGTACAAGTGGGACTTGCCACTTACTTGGTAGCTCTTTAGTTTCATGGTTTAGTAAGAAACAAGTCAGTGTTGCGTTATCCACAACCGAAGCGGAATACGTTGCCGCCGGTAGTTGCTGTGCTCAAATCCTTTGGATGAAGCAACAACTCGTGGATTATGGCCTTAGTATCAGTCACGTTCCACTCCGTTGTGATAATACTAGCGCCATAAGCTTGACTAAGAACCCCGTTCTTCATTCAAGAACGAAACACATTGACATTAGGCACCATTTCATTAGAGATCATGTTCTCAAAGGTGATGTCGAAATTGAGTTTGTTGAAACACACAACCAATTAGCCGACATTTTCACAAAACCTTTAGAGAAAGAATCGTTCTTCCGCATTCGTAGTGAACTCGGAATCCTTGACTCCACGATGATCTAATTTGTGCATTTTATCACTTCTTTTTCTTTGCTTGACCGTTTATTAACTTGAG